ACCGCATAAACACATTTCATTACACCAAATACACAAAATAATGTTCTTTTTAGCAACGTCATATGACCCCTTTAATAGTGTTGCTCATTTCCTCTATTTTTACAGTTAGATTATTTTTGCCGCACCTCAAGCTCACTTAAAGTTAATATTTAAAAACAGTAATCATTTAATAACACTGTTAAATGTAATCTTTAGCAAATCTCAAAAAGAATATCCATTTTCTATACTGTAAATTAATATGTTGTGATGCCTAAATTCCCTTGTAGCATTTAAAACTGAAGATTTTAGTTTCCATGTTTTATTCTTTATTTATTTAGGCAATAATAGAATATTAAAATCAGCTATTTGTCTGTCAGTCATAATTCCAATATTGGTGTAGCTCCCAAAAATACACCATTTTAGCGCTATTTTAAAGCACATTTCTCTGCAATTCACACAGTACCTGTGCCCAGATAAATGATGCTGTAGTGTTCATCATTGACAGCCAAGACTGTGTCTGCCACAATATGTGTGAAGTGGTCTTGAACTGGCAGGTCCAGAGGAGCTTCGTCGACCGGGATGATCATGTCCTCAATCTCAGGGTGATCCTTGATCACAGTCAGGATCTTCTGGTTATGAGCGAAAGTGTTATTCCTAAAAGCACACTGGATAAAGGTGAACCAAATTACGAATCAGACTGTGCCTTTGTTTTGTAGATGGATTCAAAATTAATTTAATAAAAGTTTAGAATGTAATCATACTGTATGTATAACAACATGACTGTCTGTTGGCACATAATTTTGCCTTTGACTGGTTAATGTTTCAGTGTGTTGTACCGTTCCAGGACGGGGAGTTGATAAAGGTGAGTTGTAGCCCTTCAGTTTGGATGTAGAAAAGGCTTGGTCAATGTCTTCAATGGAGTATGCACACACTACAGTGGTGTTCCTGTAAAAGACATAAATGTGGAAATGGATCTTAAAGGAATAATTCATGACAATTTTGTATTTTGGCCAAAAGTGAATGATGAATTATTTTAATTTTTTTTACAAACATGTAGCCTTTTGCATGAAAAGACATTTGATCAACTGGCGTCATGTGGATTACTTATGAATTATTGTGATGTTTTTATCAGCTGTTTGGAATCTCATTCTGATGGCACCCATTCACTGCAGATGATTCACTGGTGAGCAAGTGATGTAATGCTACATTTCTCCAAATCTGTTCCGATAAATAAACAAACTCATCAACATCTTGGATGGCCTGAGGGTGTGTAAATGTTCAGCAAATTTTCATTTTTTGGGTGAGCTATTCCTTTAATCAAGTATAGATAAATGTAATGAGTCAAGTACAGTAGCGATTCACAGACATTAAAATTTGGGCCAATACAGATAAAACAATAATTATTTTTACTTATAATTATTTTTTACTATTTACTATACTTAAAATAAATAAATAAAGGTGAAATTAATTTTTAGGATCCCCAACATTATAATGAACAGTATAAAACATTAATATTCATTCAGCGATCTGCTAAAGATTACATTTACCAGTGTTAATGTAAAAATTGGGGAAATGAGCATGCACTAAACATGCATTAAATATCGAACCACTGATACATTTTAAAAATTGTAATATTGATCAATATGGTACCAATATTTGTATATACCTTTAAAAAAGGTAAGACTGAAGTAAGCAAAACTGACAATGTTTGTGTCAGTGTTTTGAGTAAATATCTATAGGGATGTATATTTTGGTGTAGAATGTAGTCTTACTGGAGGCATTATTTCAGCAGCGTGATGTCAAATGTCTTCCCACTCACTTTTAGACTTAACATCTGCTTACCAAGCATTGGAGAAGATGCCATATATCAACCCAGTGCGGTGAGAAGAGGACAGAACAAAAGCCTGCTTGAAGCTGTTGTACTGTACAGGAGTTCCAGCTTTTCCACACATAATACGTGCCTTCAGGAACGTAGTCCAGGAGTTTGGCAGCATGTTCTGAAGCCCTCCCTCATCAACCTGAGCCGCAGATGCAAAGGTTATCAGAAACCTAGTGTCCTCACAGCAGTGTATATGAAGCAAGAATGGATAAAAGCTTGTTACCATGCAGACTCGTCCTATGCGAGCCCTGTATGGCTCTTCATCTAGACTGGTTGTACTGTTGACCTCACTGAAGAAGAAATAGATCTCATCTTTGAGTTTCTCTGTGTATGGTATCACAGCAGCTCCAGCAAACTGGGGATCTGAGAGAGAGGGTGAGAGCAGATTTATTATTTTCATAGGCTTAAACTTGTATTTAAAAGCATCAGTCTTTAAACCTTTACATTGGTTATGTAAACATTTTTTTTTTTAATGTTTAAAATACTTATATCTTATGATATAAGAATGGGGTTGGACTACTAGTAAAATTCAAATAAAATAATTTATATATATATATATTCCATAGACTGCAATTCAAAAGTGTAATACTTTTATTCATTAAATTAATCAAAAGTGACAGTAAAGACATTTACATTATCTTAAAAAAATATTTTTCATATGCTGTTTTTAAACTTTCTATTCATCAAAGAATCCTGAAAAAAATTATTACAGTTTCCACAAAAATATTCATATTCAAATATAAGAAATTTTTCTTATAAGAAATGCAGCAAATCAGCTTATTAAAATGATTTCTGAAGGATCATGTGAAAATTCAGCTTTGCCATCACAGGAATAAATGATATATTAAAACAAAAAAACACTTATTTTAAATTGTAATAATATTTCACAATATTACTATTTTTACTGTATTTTTTTTAAACAAATAAATCCAGTCTTGGTGAACACACGTGACTTCTTTAAAAAAATAAAAAATTTAAAACTATATTTTCTTTTTTTCCCCTGATTTTCTATTTATTTTTCCTTTTTTTTTTCTTTTGGTCACTCTAGGACTTTAAAACAAACTCTGTTTTACAGTAATGTATCTGATTGAATAATAGGCTGACACAGCATAGCTGGATTCGTTAGCTCAGTCCTTAAAGAAAATCTCCAAACTGCTAATGCAGTATAGATAACAACTGTCAACTCACTCTGTAACCATTTATTCTCTGTCTTCAGCTGCTTTTTGGAGCCATATGTGCGGCGGATAGAGCCAGTCTGTCCTGCAACCGCTGACAAAGCAGAGTACAGATTCCCATCTAAAAGAGGAGCGAGAGAGAGAGAAGTATATCCATCTGCCAAACCTCTGTGACTACAGTTCTGTCAAATCAAAGATTCCCTTAAACTTTGATTCAAATTTAGACATGTTTGCAATACTTTGATACTCGAACTAAAAAAAGAGGGCTGTGAACGCACACACAAAGCAATTTCATGCCAGTGCTGCTTCTACTTAATTCTGACTGACAGAAGAGACATTGTTGAGACATGCAATTTCAGTCAGAATCAGTGTTGACCTTTCAGCTCTGCTAACCACACGTAGCATATAAACTACTCAATTTTGTATTTGACATTTAGAACGAGAAGAGAAGGGTGAGAGCTCTCTTTATCATATACTACAGGGATTGCTGTTCTTTTTGGAAGTTGTGCTGTTATTCATCCGATACACACTATATCATCAGTATAATGCTTTGTTTATAACACCTGGATCTCTGTTCTCTGATGGACGTCATTTATGTCAGGTCAGAGAATAAAATTCATTAAAAGTTACATTACAGTCTGATGCACTGTACATATCAAAATGAAAGAAAATGTGAACAAATAACATTCTCATCTTCCTTGGATTATATCCTTCTTTTTCCCTTTCACCATTCCTCTCCTCTCTCTCTACCTGCTGATAGACTGATGGAGCGCTGAGAAGGGAAAGGTGCCAAGATGTTAGACGCTGCTGTTTCCTCCGACATGTCCGTCAGTACACTGTCATTTACCTGGGTGAGAGAGATGATGTGATTATTCAGTACTTCTCAGGCTTTTCATTTAAAAAACAGCATAGACACTGCAGTACTTTGAGAAATCAGGCCACTTTTTAGCAAAAAAAGATGCTGAAAACTTTTTTCCATAATATTATTCATCCACTAAATGTGTGTCCCACATTCCAGATGTCAAACTCTCATTTTATTGTATTGCTTTCCGTACCGTCTGATTTTCATCCTAGCACAGTGGTGAAGGAAACTGTTAAATGGTTGGGTTATAAATCACACCCACGGCAGAGACACACTAAGATTATGAAAATGTGCACAATAATACAGAAGCAGTTAAATAAATAGGATGAATTCTGCCAAAGCAGCTGAGCTCGCAGGGAAAACAGGTCTCGTTTTCCTTTGCTCTTTGATGTAATCCACAGAAAAAGCTAAAGCAATTGAAATAGTGATTGAAACAACTAACATTCGATAATTGTCTTCACAACAGTTGTGATATTAAAGGAACTTGAAATGTCTGCACTGAGCAGGTGCGGTGTGCATGTTTTTGTTTTTGTTTCTTTAATTACAGAATAGATAGATAATTTGACCTTCCTGTGTCTCAAACAGTAGAGCATTGCACTGGCAATGAAAGCAAGAATTGATCAAATGCTTACTCTGAATGCTATGCTATAACATAACAAATAACAAAGAAAGACACATCTTAAAAATGTTTTGCTTACAGATGGGAGTTTAAACTGCTTCAGGACTGTAATAGTCACATATATAATGGCAGGTAAGGCTTCTTACCAGGAGCCAACATTTAGGAGCACTGGCTCTTGTCCCACAGACCACAAATGAATCGCCGACTCTCTCAATTACTGTGATGAAATTATCACACTCTTGCTACAGAAAGATGAAAGGACACAATTTGTGTCAATGCAAAACATATAGACATCATATATTATAAATTACAGAAATAGATATAGTTGCTAAACACAGTATGTCATCCATTTTTACTTTTTTCTATACTAAACTGGATTTTGTGGACGTAATCAACTTTGTTTTTCAGAATGATCAACATAACCACTCCTAACCACCATCTTTATTTAGATATTTAAAGAAGCCCATCACTCATCAGTTGGCTGTCTGTGCCATTACCCTTAAAAAATAGCCTCATTCAGTCAACTCTGAGTGATGACCTACTCATCATGGATGACTATTTCTGTCTAAGTTGAACCAGGGCAGTGAATCCAGCCAGGCTCCAGCTTGCATAATGAGGAGCATCTGGGAAACATGTTCACAAATGTTCTGATTAGTCAGTTTCAGAATTTTTTATTTATTATAATCCAGCTAAACCTGATGGTTTAGAAAAAATGGATAACTGGAGACATTGTGCTAGTCATTTCTTGTGGTTAGATTTGTGAGTGCACTGAATCACAAGGCTTAAATGAGTTAAGATAATCCTATTCTTTGCTTGAAATCACAGGCAACTTGAGGTCTGATTGACTAAATATTGTTGGATTGTTTCTCTTACCTTCCATACTGGTGATTTAGAGACACATGTCTCTTTTGCATTCTCATCCATCAGTGCATGGATCTGTGAGCACATCAACAACATTACTAATCATGCAGCCTTGCGTACATAATAATGTCCCGACAAATTATTCTCATCATGTTAAAGCTATATTCTATTGATTACAGTGAGAAACAGATCATAAAGTGTTATGGCGACAGTAAAATGATAAGAAACCATAACTATCCCTCCATGGCAATTAATCATTTCAGTGAACCTCCATTATAAAGCATTGTTCTGCTCCATAAATAATAGCACAGTTTTGCTACTTGCTGAGAACCAGCAATCTGGGTCAGGATTTAGGACAGTGATAGATCTACTTTGGCTTCAGGTTATGGTGTCAGCCCCCCTACCTGCGTGTCATGCACTCCTTTATCACTGAAGGTGAGCTTATAGATGACCCCTTGACCCCCCACATACAGGACATCAGTTTTCTGTTGGTGGTAAACTGTTGTGTAGTTCTCCGGCTTCATGAAGCGAAACCGAGGTGACTCTATAGACAAATTGTCAGAAATGCAGTGTATAAACAATGTTTCTGGCAGTCTTTATATGTATATATTCACATATTGCATGAATAAATAATGTGTGTCTACTAAAATAGTGGTTCTCAACTGGTGAGTTGCAATTCAAAAATGTGTCACAGGGAAAACTATGCAAATGCAAATAATAAAATGCAACTAGCCATAAAAATATGTATAGTTACGATAACAAAATAATAGGCTTTTTATATGAGCTAATTTAAATGCATTAAATGCTTCCAGTGCTTTTATTGTTGAGATAAAAGGCTGTGCATCCAAACTCTGCTAATATTAACTGAATATTTTAACCAGTGTTGCATCCAGTGTATGCATTAAAGGAATAGTTCACCCAAAAAATTACAATTAGCTAAAAAATTAACTCACCCTCAGGCCATTAAAGATGTAGATAAGTTTTTGTTCATTGAAACAGATTTGGAGAAATGTAGCATTACATCACTTGCTCACCTCTGGGTGACATCAAAATAGGAGTCCAAACAGTTGAATAATCCACAAGTAATCCAGTCCATCAGTTACTGAAGTGAGTCAATTGTGAATTGAAAAGCTGCATGTTTGTAAAAAATCAAAGCCATCATTAAGTCACTTCTTGCCAAAATACCAGTCCATAATTCATAATAATGTTGAAAAGTGCATCCCCTGTTGTCCTCCCAAATTAAAATCCAATTGTTTTGTACTGTTTTCAATTGATCTGTGCATATTTCAGCCTGATTCAGATGAGACTATTTTTTTTTCACTGGAGAAAGCAACATTATGGATAGAGGACTCATATTTTAGCCGAAAGCAATGTTTTGAAGTTTACAATTTCTTAATGATGGATTACAATATGTAGCTTTTTACTTCACAGAATGTTAATTGATGGGCTGGAGTTGTGTGGATTACTTGTGGATTATTGTGATGCTTATCAGCTATTTGGACTCTTATTCTGAAGGCACCCATTCACTGCAGAGGATTCATTGGTGAGCAAGTGATGTAATGCTAAATTTCTCCAAATCTGTTCAGATGAAGAAACAAACTCATCTACATCTCGGATGAACTATTCTTTTAACAAAACTGTCAATTTTCCTCTCTTCTGCCTGTTCAATGTAAATCATTTTGCATATTGTTGGACTTGTTGTATATTAAACATTGTTATATTATTTAAGGGCTTTGAATTGATTTTCACTGTAAAATCTGGGTTTTAGAGCAAAACCCGTTGAGATCTAATTGATCTAAAAGTTTAACTCAAATGTCTAAGCCACTTTCGTAGGTGTTTTTCATCTGACCTAAATGGAGAAAACTATCAAAGGTGGTTGTCAGGGGTAGGCAGCTATGTAAAACTATAAATTATTGATACTACATTGTATAAAGCGGAGATTTGCGATTATTTCATAAAACTAACACGTTGCAACAGGTGTTTGTCTCAGTCTGCGCTGCTAGAGATTTCATCTTAATTACTGGCTATTCGAAGCGGGGTCTGGCGAGGTCGAAAAACCTGCAGACCAGTCTGATCCGGTTTTTATTTGCATACGAAGGTGTCGTTTTCCATAACACAGACCTTTAGTTTATGGGATTATTTGTCTCGCCATCGCATCCTTCGTGATTTCAGGGAAGACGTGCACTGAATTGAGGATTTGGGCAAGCATCGTTGTCCATGGTGCTGAAGTGGGCGGTCAAGACCTCATTGGAGACGCATATTGGTCTTTCTCGTTGCTTCCTCGTATCTGTAATTGTGAGACGTTGTAGTATCACGTAACACTGACGGCGATGACCGTGAGACATGTCGATGTTTTCAAATAAACACTTGTGAATCGCATGTCCCATATTGGTTGTATCGACATAGACGACTGTGAACGTGCTTGTAATAAATAATAGCGGTAGGTTTCGTGGAATTTTCCATGGGCTATTCTCTTCTGCGAGTGTGTTTTTTCTTGGATCCCATGTTGTGTCCTGGGTCTTGGAAATGCATCAGTTGCTGCAGTGCCATCATTCCCGTTAACTCGCGCACCTGCATTGCAGCTCTGTAGATTGCGTCCTATGATTTTCTTAAATCAAACCCACTTGCAGCGTATTCTACACGAAAACTGCGTTCAAAATTAGCAACGTCATTCAATGCATTTACAAGTTTAGTGAGAAAGCGAATGGTCGTTTCAGAAAATTACTTATTCCGTAGCATCCAGGAAGATTCACGAGCTTGTTTACTCACGCATCCCAAGCATGCTACTAGCTCTAGTCTTGACTAACACCACTAACATGTCTTAAAGATATGTTACTATGGATACACAGTCAAAAATCCTTCCAGCATCCTTGTATGAACCTTCGGCTCTTAGATATGTTAGAAATGTTTAGGATATGTTTAGTTGAGATATTGTTTCTCCATCACTATGTGCTTTCAGTGTCAGTACTTAACGCGTTGCGTTTACTGTATTTTTCATTGTAGTTTAATATATAGGCTTATGTAGGCTACTCTTAACCATAATTAATATCACATATAGCCTACGTGATAAAGTGAAGTCATGACGTGCATATAAGCCTCAATCGGTTTTTGTTTTCAAAACAGCAATGTAAAGCAATCAGTGCCCATCTTGGCCTGCTTCCATTCACTAACATTGTGATTTGACTTTTTCTGTTTTTTACATCCTAATGAAATATGAAGTCTTATTACGCAGCAATTTTTGTTTTCCCCAGGGGAAAATAAGCCAAATCTGTTCAGATGAAGAAACAAACTCATCTACATCTCGGATGAACTATTCTTTTAACAAAACTGTCAATTTTCCTCTCTTCTGCCTGTTCAATGTAAATCATTTTGCATATTGTTGGACTTGTTGTATATTAAACATTGTTATATTATTTAAGGGCTTTGAATTGATTTTCACTGTAAAATCTGGGTTTTAGAGCAAAACCCGTTGAGATCTAATTGATCTAAAAGTTTAACTCAAATGTCTAAGCCACTTTCGTAGGTGTTTTTCATCTGACCTAAATGGAGAAAACTATCAAAGGTGGTTGTCAGGGGTAGGCAGCTATGTAAAACTATAAATTATTGATACTACATTGTATAAAGCGGAGATTTGCGATTATTTCATAAAACTAACACGTTGCAACAGGTGTTTGTCTCAGTCTGCGCTGCTAGAGATTTCATCTTAATTACTGGCTATTCGAAGCGGGGTCTGGCGAGGTCGAAAAACCTGCAGACCAGTCTGATCCGGTTTTTATTTGCATACGAAGGTGTCGTTTTCCATAACACAGACCTTTAGTTTATGGGATTATTTGTCTCGCCATCGCATCCTTCGTGATTTCAGGGAAGACGTGCACTGAATTGAGGATTTGGGCAAGCATCGTTGTCCATGGTGCTGAAGTGGGCGGTCAAGACCTCATTGGAGACGCATATTGGTCTTTCTCGTTGCTTCCTCGTATCTGTAATTGTGAGACGTTGTAGTATCACGTAACACTGACGGCGATGACCGTGAGACATGTCGATGTTTTCAAATAAACACTTGTGAATCGCATGTCCCATATTGGTTGTATCGACATAGACGACTGTGAACGTGCTTGTAATAAATAATAGCGGTAGGTTTCGTGGAATTTTCCATGGGCTATTCTCTTCTGCGAGTGTGTTTTTTCTTGGATCCCATGTTGTGTCCTGGGTCTTGGAAATGCATCAGTTGCTGCAGTGCCATCATTCCCGTTAACTCGCGCACCTGCATTGCAGCTCTGTAGATTGCGTCCTATGATTTTCTTAAATCAAACCCACTTGCAGCGTATTCTACACGAAAACTGCGTTCAAAATTAGCAACGTCATTCAATGCATTTACAAGTTTAGTGAGAAAGCGAATGGTCGTTTCAGAAAATTACTTATTCCGTAGCATCCAGGAAGATTCACGAGCTTGTTTACTCACGCATCCCAAGCATGCTACTAGCTCTAGTCTTGACTAACACCACTAACATGTCTTAAAGATATGTTACTATGGATACACAGTCAAAAATCCTTCCAGCATCCTTGTATGAACCTTCGGCTCTTAGATATGTTAGAAATGTTTAGGATATGTTTAGTTGAGATATTGTTTCTCCATCACTATGTGCTTTCAGTGTCAGTACTTAACGCGTTGCGTTTACTGTATTTTTCATTGTAGTTTAATATATAGGCTTATGTAGGCTACTCTTAACCATAATTAATATCACATATAGCCTACGTGATAAAGTGAAGTCATGACGTGCATATAAGCCTCAATCGGTTTTTGTTTTCAAAACAGCAATGTAAAGCAATCAGTGCCCATCTTGGCCTGCTTCCATTCACTAACATTGTGATTTGACTTTTTCTGTTTTTTACATCCTAATGAAATATGAAGTCTTATTACGCAGCAATTTTTGTTTTCCCCAGGGGAAAATAAGATTAGCAATTTCTGCTTTAGTAAGAATAACCATCAGAGACTGAGATCGAAAAAAATCCATTACTCTCCACAGAATCCATGCGGACTGAAACTATTACACTGAAGAAGCATAAAGTCTTACCCATCACGGTGAATTTCAGCCGAGGTGATTTTTCGGCCAAAATCACTGAGAAAAGTGTCGCCAGTATGAGCAGATTCATGTTGTTCCGCGATGCTTTAATTGGAGTGACGCCACGTCAATAAACTCTCTCCTCAGATAAAGACTGGTGTTGTTTTGCAGGAGTGCGTGTGTGAAAAGCGGGCGCCGTCTGTCCCTCACCAGACCTCTCTGCGAATCTGAGCGCTAATTGCCTTCACGTCACACCTTCTGGAATAGAGGGAATGGAGCAAGCATACATGCGCTCACAACAGCGATCACGTGGACTGACATCTATAGATTAAGCTAAACACTCTTTTTTTAAATTTACATGCAATGCATTGCGAATAATGCATTTCAGTGTAATAGCCTACACTTCAGTTTGTAGATCTCGCAGTCACTATAAATATTGGCTTACAGTTTATAGTTACAAGTTAGTTACAAGTTATCATAGTTTAGGCCTACATCATGTAGGCTACATGTAGGGGTGTAGCAAACATTAGGCTATACCAAATGTATATATTGTTATATGTTAGGGGCTGGGGGTCCTTTCTGTCCCCCCTCTGAGATAAATGTTAAAGTGTTATCTAAGATAAATGTTAAAGTGTGCCCCTTAAAAGCACAAATGGCCCCTGCCTGACCCAGTACTTTAACCTTATGATGCATTCATTAATAAATCACTAAATCACAGAAACAAAACAAAAAACTCGCTGCATTTAGGACTGTAATTTTATGTAGGTTATTGGCAGTTTGTAGAGATAAAAAAATATATTTTTTAATGGCTATAATGTATCTATATCTATCTAGCTGAATGAATGAATGGCTATGCCATTTTTATTTTATTATTCTGAATATCATCATTTGTCACATTTAGTCAGTCAAAACAATTTTGAGGTTAATTGATTTAATTTTGTGTCCCAATTTTGTATTTAATTTGTTATGGGGCAAACAAGACGAGAGGCATGCGGATCCATGTGCAAAGCTTTATTCTGAACCATAGCCAAAACAGGCAAGTGTCGGACAATGGCAAACAGGTATATAGAGGGCAAGACTGAAGAGTAATCCGAAACACAAGCGATGGTCCAGGCGAGGAATAAACCGTATCCGAACAGGGCGAGACGAGAGGGGTAATCCAAGACAGGCGATATACTTCGGGGCAGGCAGAGATCGTACAGAAACGAGATATACAGGCTAGGATCAAAACACGAAATTACTAAGGCAATAAACAGGATAAACTAGACTTGGACTCAGAACTAGAAACTCAAACTAGGACCGGGAACTGGCTCAGTAAAGTAGCTACGCATAACAGCATAGATGCTAAACAATACTCGGCAGTTTGAAAGGGATCTGAGTGAGTGTTATAGTGAATGTGTGACTGGTTACAGCTGTGTGCAATTAGTGCAATGGATGATGGGATATGTAGTCCGGGATGTCATGCAACAGTTTGTGTAGTGCGAGAGTCAATGTAATGGAAGGGTGACCTCTGGTGGTGATCGAACGGAAGTCCATGGACAGGATTCGTGACATAATTATTCAACTAAATTACTTAATAGTTGGTTTAGTATGTTACATTAGTGACACTTTTGAAAATTTATAAATATCAAAAAGAACTATATCAAAAGACATTTATACATACTGTAAAAGTTCATCAGGGGGTGGCAGGGTTCTTTACTGAGGTAGTGGGCCAACTTACCCCAGCAGGAATCATCTTACCCCTGTTTTAATACTTTACATATTGTGCTATAACAACTAAATTAGCAGATGCTTCTATTTTTTTCCTATAACATATCGGCTTAAACATTATCTTCCTGCATATGCTAAACGTACAGTGGGTACGGAAAGTATTCAGACCCCCTTAAATTTTTCACTCTTTGTTATATTGCAGCCATTTATAAACAGGATTTAAAGAATCACTACTAATTTTTTGTTTTTATTATTATTATTATTTTTTTTTTGTTTTGTTTTGTGCTGTTACTTTTGCTTTGTCAGGTCTTGCCAATACTCTAATTTTGACAGAATCAGCATTAAGGATCAGCTCACTCTGTGTCTTGCCCATGTTATTGTCCTATTCATCAGACCTATCAATACTCCTGAAGCTCATAATCAGTAAGCCAATGCTCACTGCATCAGTGGAAGAGTGGGCCTGAAAAGATACTTACCTTTGCTTCTTCCTCATTCAATTATTTGGCAAAAATCTCCAACATTTATCATACGTAGTTTCAAATGATGTGATGGGTAAACTGATATATTTCAGTTTCAAAGCTTTTAAATTGTGCAAATTTGCAAGCATACAGGCCGTTGTCTCACAAATACGTCTCTCTTTGGCTCCACCTAGCGGCCAAAAGGCTTGAGTGCCATGTACTTTGGTCAAAGTGGTGGCACAAATAGTTCCTAACTTTTGTGAGTCTATAACAGAGATCTGAACATACTGTAATCACACTTTGTTTGACCATGAGATGATGTTGACTGCATAAATACATTAGTTTAAAAATAATAAGCATGGTGTAAAAATAATTTTCACTCAGAAATTGCTAATAAATTCCACAAATAATTACAAAGAAATGGCAAGTAACATATAAAATTAAACTTGATATTTTGAAGTAGAAAGAGATTTCTTTGTAAAATGTACAACAATTTTTGTTCTATTTACAACATTAATAAATATTTACAGTGTGTATATACAGTATATAGGTTTCAAGGTATGTGATAATTCTCATCTTAATAAAATTATTAGTTAACTGTTGGTTGAATTGTATTTTAATTGTAACACATTTTTTGTGAACAGGAAGCATTTTTAGCATTTCTGTACAAGATTCTGTCTGTGGCTGAGCGCATCTGTAGCCCGACAGACCTATATAACAGATTGAGACATCTAGAGGTAATCCTAAAGGGTTTAAACCACTGGTCATACACGTGATTATAATTTTTTTTTTTTCTGGGTTATTCTGGGCAGCAGCAGAAATGATTTGCTCTGACTTTCTCTCTCTCTCTCTCTCTCTCTCTCTCTCTCTCGCCCTGCAGAATCCAGTTAAAGCTTGAGAACTGTCTGTCCAACAAAACGACGGCCTGCGTAAAACATCACTGCGAGTCCCCTGTCCCTTCCTGTACTCTCAGACAATAATCTGTCATCAGCGTAATAAAACATACCCCTCACAGATCAATTTCACTTTGTTATTACACTGAAAAAATGGCATAAATACTGTAATATCAAACTTAAATCGTAGGTAATCAGATGAGAGGCAGCAGAGGAAAATTATTTCTCTTTTTAACAAACAAGACAGTGACTGATGCAGATAATTATGCAGATTCTTCTCTCCTGACACCACCATTACATCTCATGTCATTTATCCTCCACGGTCAGGTGAGCTAAAGAAAAACTGCAGCCACTCATGGTTATAGGTGCTGCATTGATGAAACACGGAGCTTACATCTACACTATTTTATACTGCATACACCAAAGTAACAAAGAGGTATGATCACAATGTAATTTAAAATTAATTAATGAACCCTGCAAATTGTTCAGACTTTCAGGACTCAAATTAATTTTACCTATAAATGAATTTGAATTTTTAATGAGGTTTAAAATGGAACACTATGGAGTAAAGATAGCAAGACAAGATGGTTTTCTGAACAAGCAGACTTGCATAGTCTTTAATAATCCAATGCAAAATATGGTAACTTACAAATGCATTAGCAAAAACATCAACATTTGGAAATATAACATATACATTACATAAATTGCAAAGCATCTTAAGTAAATGACCATGTGTGGTCATGACATTTGTGCATTGCCATATCACTTGATGTTGTTAAAAAAAAGAAAGACAAAAAAGTGTCATTAACTTATCCATTTAAAATCCTTCACTTTCTAAAAACATATTAGTTTACTTTGTGTTGTAATGCTACAAACTACAGTAGACGTTTATAGGCTTTTAAGACTTCTATAGCAACATACATAGTTCTATGGGTTATACATTTGTGCAACAAAAAGTTACAATATCTAAAATTCATTGTAGGTGTTGTCAAATGCATCATCGCATTAATTTGGCAGTGAAATTAATATCTCTAAAGGCTAACTGTACCAGAGCCCTCACAAAGGAAGAGATTTTATTCATTATACTAAGAGCTGTGAGCCTAAAAAAATCAAGCAATAACACACCAAATCAAGGGCACACCACAATAATATCCAACTGTTATTTAATTATTTAATAGTGGAGTATTATTCAAATAATTTCTTTACACACTATACATACATACATTATATATATATATATGTGTGTGTGTGTGTGTGTCTATAATTTCATAGTAAATAAATGTCATGTTTAATAATATTTTATGCACTGCATTTTTAATACTATTTTATATGGAATTTACAATTAATACTAGTTAATAGTAAATAAATACTATTTCTTTTCTTTTTACATTTATTTATTGATTTTTGAATATGAATTATTACTATCGGACTATAAGAGTATTTGTTGATTGTTTGTCTTCAGACTTTGGCATTGCTCAGCAATATTACAGACTTTATTACCGATTTGATATAGTGGCTACCTTCTCCGCTAAAATGTTATTATTATAAAGAGTTAAGTTACCTACTTACATTAATGTCAATCAGGCTCGCAAAACATGAATGAGATTAGTATTATTTATTAAAGTTGAGTTACTATACCTATTTACATTGTTGTCATTCAGACTTGTTATGTTATCATAAGGCTTTGTACCTTGCTGTGTTGGCAATCTGCATTATGTATGAGCAGTTGCTCCACTTTGAGATTTACTACAGTTTTAAAGGCTCAACTAATTGTAACCATGGCCATGAATTCTCTATTCCAGCTCAAATAAGCTTCATTGTGAATCTCCCAGTGTCCCCACCATCTCCACCTCCACCCATGGATGATCGTGGCACAAAGTCTATAGTGGCAGTGTGTTTTATCTGACCTTTGCTCTGACTCCAGAAGAACATAAACACAAAACAGATCGCCACAGAGCTGAGGAAAGAAAGAAATCCCATGGTGGTAGCAATGATGAGGGTTTTAGCATCAAACGGGTAAGGACTTGACACCCGT